GCATCACAGTAAGGAAAGGGAATAATTGTTATGCCAGTGGTTGGTCTCACAAGTCATGGCTGCCTTTTTGCTACAAATGATGATGAGACCTTACTAAAAACAAATGAAAAGAAATAACCATCCTCAGATAATCTTAAAATATGAAAGCATTTAACATTTAAAATTAGCAAAATCCTCAACCAAACTCAACCTGTGTTATACCTAAATCAACCAAAGCAAACTTTGGGGAACCCTGAAATTCTGAAGAAGATATCTGAGGACAAAAGCCAATGATATCTTAGAGTAAAAAAACAAAAGATTTCTGTCTGTCTTCCGAATATGCTCCGTGCTGCCATCATGGTTGTCACTTAACATAGATGACATTTGCGAGGTCCCCCTCGCCCGTGACGACGCCCAAGTTCTGACCACAGCACAAAGGTCCAGTACAAACATGTAGCTCAGGTATTCTGAAGCCAAGTGATATTGTTTATCTAATTTTTTTAGATAAATAACTTTAGATAAGTTATTTAGAGACAGGCCTTGGGCAATCTGTAAGCTCTTAAAAAGAATAGCTATGCTGTTTGAATAATTCTAGAAAAAAATTTTAAATTGTTACAAAGCTTCTACTAATCTCCCCTGTCCCAGCATTACCTGTCATACAATAGGCCTGGAAAAAATGGAAAATCCGAGTGGATTACCAAATCTCTTGGACCACGGTGACACCAGCAAGACGCCAGACTAGGAAACTCTAGGCCTTCTGTCCCCCATGGAAATACTAGAAAAACTAAAGACTGACTAAAATAACTTTATAGGACCTTTGAAAGCAGTCAATACTCTAAAGCAACCAAGCAAATGCCCAGTCAAGAAAAAGCCACATTTGATATGGCAGAAAAATTTGTAACAATTTTAATGTCCCTTGCCCCACCTTTTCTCCATGCAATGGAGAAAGGAGTCTTTTCAACAGTTAGTGCTGGGAAAAGTGGATATCCACATGCAAAAAATAAAGTTGAAGCCTTGCCTCACATCATATACAACAAGTAACTCAAAATGGACCGAAGACGTAAATGTAAGGCATAAAACTATAAAACTCTTAGAGGAGAACATAGGAGAAAACCTTAATGACACTGGGTTTGGCAATGACACCAAATGTACAGGCAATGAAAGAAAAATTAGATAAATTAAACTTAATCAAAATAAAAAATTATACATTAAAGGACTGTTAATGGAATAAAAAGGTAACCTATGGAACAAGAGAAAATATTTTCAAATCATATTTCTGATAGGCAAGTAATTTCCAGAATACATAAAGAACTTCTACATTCAACAAAAAACCAAAGATTTCTTTTTATCTAAAAAGGGCAAAAGAAGATATACAAATGGCCAAGAAATACATCAAAAGATACTTATCACTAATAATTTAAAGAATGCAAATCAAAACCATAATTAAATACTACTTCACACTCATTAGGGTGGCTGTTATATATAATATAATGTGCAAAAAACCCAGAATATTAAAAATGTTGGTAAGGATATGAAGAAATTGGAATCTTTGTGCATCGCTGGTCAAAATATAAAATGGAATACATAGCCACTGTGAAAAATGGCACGGCAGTTCCTCAAAAAATTGAACAAAGAATTACCATCTGACCCAGCAGTTCCACTTCTGGATACATACTCATAAAACTAAAGGCAGGGACTCAGGCAGGTTTCTCTACACTCATGGTAACAGCAGCATGACTTGTGAGTCACGCTGGAGAAAAGCACAGACTAGGAAGCTTCGGTCCCTCTGCTCTCCATGGTAACGTTGGGAAAACACAAAAACCAAGGGTTGGAAGTAATCCGTGGGTCCATCGATGGATGAGAAATGAATAAATAAATTGTGGTCTATACATAAGATAAAATATTATTTGGCCTTAAAAACAAAAACATTGTAATATGTGCTACAACATGACTGAACTTTCAGGACATCATGCTGAATGAAACACGCCAGTCACAGGACGACAAACACGGTGTGGCTACATTTATGTGCAGTACCCAGAGCAGTCACATTCTCACGACACCGGCTGCCGGGGGTGAGGGGAGGGAGGTATGGGGAATTATTTAACGGGCACCATTGCCGTCGGGGTGGATGGGTTCTAGAGACGATGGTGGTGATGGTCACACACAATGGGAATGTACTTACTGCCACTGAATAGTCTGCTTAAAAATGTTTTAAATGGTAAACATTATTTTATGTATATTTCACCACTATAAAAAACCCCTAGACATAAATGTCTCCATCTCTTCTTCTCACTGTGGCCAGAAGAGGATACCTTGCAAGCCGCATTAAGAGGTTTTAACGTATATGATACCTAAGCATCTTTAACTTCCTAATGCTGCTGGAGATCATAAACAGAATGTTCATGTCATATACAAACCCACACTAAGATCTATTTTGATCATCTTATTGCCAAAGTACCTAAATACTTTCTTTTCATCTAATTGGAGGTGTGACATTTCACATGTATGAATAAGCTAAATCTTTGGCACACGGTGCATCCACAGCGAAGTGAGTCAGCGACCACTCACTGACAGAGTTCAGGCACACTGTACACGGAGAAGCGGTCTAACCTGGACTTTTTTCTCTCAATTTAAGTGCCAGGTTTGTTTGAGGAATGTATTAGTCTCCTTACCTGAAATAATCATCCCCTTCACTCTACCTGCTCAAATCCCTCCCATTCTTTAGAACCCAGCTAAAGGCGGTTATTTTACAACGCATTTCCTGACTCTACCAGCCCCCATCCATCTTCCTGACCCCTGGTCTCCAATCATTTAGAGCTTAGTAACAGACTGCCTTGTGTTACTGGCTATCACTTAATGTTTTAGAACCAACAAAAATATACTAAAAAATGGACAATTATTCCAGTCTGGAAGGACAGCCCAAAATAGTAACACAAGGTAAATTCACTAAACCCAAATTATGAACTTACTAATTTTCTTTGAAGTCCAGTGCAACTCGATAGGAACATGAGTTCAAAATGACTATTGATTCAAATTACTTGATCAGTTCATTCTAAAAACTGGCTTATGGAGGGCTGGGAGGTAGAAACTCCCTTTCTTTCACCCTAACACACGCACACACACACACTCAGTAGCACACGCATACTGGAGCACAATTTACACATGAGTAGCAACTGCATGAAAAGAAACTTTGGGAACTGAAGCAATAATATTGTTTTGAGCACCCATTATGTGCAAAGCACTTTGCTAAGCCCTGTGGGTAAGGAACTCACACATCTACAGTCCTCTTTAACCCCAACCCAGAGTCTATTGCTTTGGTGGTTGGGGCATGCCTCTGGGCACTGGCCTGCTGGTTAATCTGGGAATTTTCCTCTCGGGTCAGACGTGAAACCAAGATGAGAAAAAAAAATATGAGCTGAAGTGGAGGGCAGTCGTCATCCCCCCCTCAGTACGAACCCACATATCCCAACAAATTGAAGAGTTCACTCTTTGTAGTTAAAACTGCATCTTATTTGAGTTCAAATTCTTTCTATTAATATATAAGATTTATTGAAATTATATTGTTTGAGCAGGAGCAAGAAAGCTGAATATTATTTCAGGTTTTCAAGCCATAAGGAAAAATAGTGCCTTTAGGTTTTCCATTCAACTAGGAAAATTATAGCTTCACATTTGCAACACTGAAGCTAATGCGGTGTCAGCACCTCCGTCAAACTCCGCTGTTCAGCAGTTTATAACTCAAGCAGAAATGTTCTCTCCAAGCCCAAACTTGGCCTACACAATCTCAAAGAAAAATGGGGAAAAATTATTTTGGCTAGTGCTGACTTACAAAAGCAAAGTAGAGTCCTTTCACAGAGTATTTTGGAAAACATCTTTGAGAATTTGAGACTATAAAGGGGAATTACTGAGTTGACATTCATTCCTGAAGTTAGAGAAATAACTAACAATTACATGATGTCATGTCAGCATCAGCAGTTATCTTAACTGCTTTCATGAAAGCCTTCATCAGGTAGAATTACTGTATCAGACACAATTACTGTTCGTGGAGAATAAAACAATTATAGTGGAAAATAAGGACAAATAGGTAGACATTTCTCGCAAGAGCCATCATGAGTCTTTAGGCACTAACTCTCTAGTGCACGCACACACCAAATAAAAAATATTTTTTCCAGTTGGGAAAGAAAATGTTGGACTGGCAGGCTGGGATTCCCAAAGCCAGCCTTACTCCTTCCAAATGTTATCCAGGACTTACAAACAATTCAGTGTTGAAGGGGATTCCCTGCGGCAGGTGACAAGAGCTAGAGGATTGCCCAGCTCACTGGAGCGGTGGGGGGACTGGTCAGTTCTGGGAGGCAGTCACGTGGTGGATGGGCTATAGATTGCCTGGTGTCTCTGTGGCATCCATGAGTCTAGCAGCCAAGCCCTGATCACTCTGATCTCCTACATCAAAACTGTGATATCATGGCATCATGCATAAGAAAGTCACCGTTTCCTGCTTGCAGAAGGCTCACTTGCATTAAACACCGTTATCTCAGGCACACCGTCCCTGTTTTCACCAGCATTTATTAAAACCTTAATAAACCAGGCTACAGGTGACTTGACAGGACCTATGTTCTCCAGGAGATATCACGAGGAAGTGAATGGTTCATAAGACAACTCCGGGTCAACTGTGGGGTGCCATCTGGACGACTTCACATACGGACCCTGAAGTGACAGCGACGGCTCCTCTTCCCCACCACCCGCCGCTGCCCTTTGAAACCGTTTGAGACCGCACTGACTCCCCTGGTGGCCCCCTTCTTTTTTCCTTAACGCTCAACACTGTCAAGCACTCCCTGCGGAGGGGACTCTGGGTCGTTTTGCGAGCTCAACGACCAGGCCTGGGGGAGAGGTGTCAAGGACGGGTTTTCGGAGGGGTCAGCTGCGGCGTCTGGAAGGCAGGGCGAGCCTGGCGGCGGGGCCCGGGGAGTCAGACCGGGATCGGGCATTGCCGGGGGCAGAGAGGACTCACAGGGCTCCGGGCTCACCTGATTGAAAGGTGCGGCGATGAGCGACGGTTCCCATGGCTTAGAATTGGTGCTCGTGGTCCCAACTTTCTCTTTCTTGGGTGCCATGAAAAGGACAGAAGAGCTTTGGCCTCTAAATTGGGATCGGGCCCGGACTAAGCGTCCCCGCTGCCATAGTAACCGAAGCCACACCCAGTTCCTGAACCAATTGGGCTCCCCTCCCCCAAGCCCATTCAGACTCTTCCGGTCAACCGCTTCCGTCTCCATAGCAACTGAGTTTCCCAGCCGCGGGATAAGTCCACGCTGGGACCCCCAGCCCTCTGGTTAAACCTCAGAGTTTTGCAGCAGGAGAACCGGGCCAGCGGACGAGAGGATACGCGTTGGTCAGGATGCTTTCTTTACTCACTTGGCCCCTCTGCCTTCTGTGGGCCGAGGCACCGTCTAGAAACTCAAAACCCCTGGAATCTTGTCCACGACCTCTCCACCGGATCCTGGGGAACCTAGAATCGAGAACTGACCCGTCAGGAGGCAGCCCATGCCGTTCCCTTATCTGCTCTCCTCTGCCCACAATGCGTCCTTTGGCGGAGCCACATTTGCCTCCCCAACCTCCAGCCTCTGCTTTAGTCTGGGTTCTGCCTCCCAGGGTCCAGTCAGTCCCCTATGAGATCTTCATGTAACTGCAGAGGAAGTTAATGTCTTTCTGTATCTTCCACTCCGTCTAATCAGACCCAGTTCTTTTGGCTGCCCTCTAGTACTGGTAAGCAGGGACCTCCTTTTCCCACCAGGCACTCCCAAATATCAAATACCCTGGTCAGACAGTCCCCCAAAGAATGACAGTAATAATAATACTAATACTAATAAGGACAGCTCTCGTTTCTTGAGCACTGGTTATATCCCGTACAACACAGTTACATTGTTTCATTCTTACAACAACCTTATTCCCAGCCCCACAGGGTAGGACTGATGGCTCCCGGGTTAGAAGCCAGTTATTATCCGAGTCCCAAGCGCACGGTGCTGAACCTCTACGCCACCACCCACCTCTGTTTCGGGCCTTCCAAAATAACGGCCCCTTTGGGGCCAGGCTTACTTTTATGTTTCATTGCAATGAGACAAATTTGAGAAGAAAATTTCTGATGCATGGTGAAGCCAGAGGGAGGGTCTCCACAGCAAAGACTGACACCAATTCACTGTCATAGAATTTTCTCCCAAATTTCGTTCTTCACTAAACTTTTCTTTGTAAGACAAGAATTGTCTTCGGAGTGTGGCTTGCACACAAAGGTTAATCTCTTACAGACAAAAATAAGTAATCAGTGATTGCATCATTCTGAATTTTGACCATAATTATTCTCATAGGTTTAAACTGTTTGGGAAGGAAGTCCTGCATTTTTATTAGAAAGGCAGTAAAAATTAGTTGGCCTTCCAGTTATGTTTTATAAAAAAATTCAACTAGATGTTTATGTACCAGTGTGTCATACTATGTTACTAATTTTCTTCTTGAATGCGAATGTATATTTCAAAATAAACATATTATGTATAGTCAGTTCAGCCAAATCACTAGCAGATGATTAATAAAATAGGTTGCAGATAAGAAAGAGAAACAAAGAAGAAAAAATAGAATAAGGAGAAAAAAGGAAAATTAAGTGTTATTTTAAATAGTAGAGAAAGTGCCACCAGTTACATCTTACAAGTGACAACTATCCAATCTAATTTTGGTAGCAACAAAATGTGACACTGTGGCCAGAACTGACCAGCTGTTTCATAATTATTTGACTTTCTTTCCTCCTACGATGAGAGTCAGACATTTTTCAACCTTCCTTATCCTTGCATGTGAACACGGACTGAGTTCTAGCTGGTGGGACAGAGCAGCTATTGCGCCCACAGCCAAAGCTGGCCTAGGCCAAGGCCACTGTCCATGCCCTTCCCCATCTACCCGGACACGGAGACACTGAAAGCCTCGAGTCCCCGACTGATTTCTGTGGCCCAGAGAACCCTTTCCGCCAAGCTGTGTCCTGTTTTCTGCACCAAAGGCATTTGCTTGGGATTTTTAATTGGATGAGAAATAAACTTTTATTTTCTTAAATTGCTGAAATATTGGGATTTGTTATAGCAGCTAGTTACTCTATATGACCTAACATTTTTTATCGTTTTCATTTGAGAATCCGCTTAATACATCTCAGAAACCAACCCTGTCACTTTCAAGTAGGGCTCAGGGCTGACTCCTACCGTGACAGGCAGGCAGCTCCAACCCCTGCCCTTCAGGAGATGGGTGTCCAGTACTACCCACCCGATTGCACCCTTCACCTGGCCTGCCGCCTGCTTATTCAGGAAATTCTTCACACTCTTTGTCAAGAAGTAAATATGGTATTTGGAGTAGTTTGCATAATAAAGTAACACCATAAACTAGTCTGCTTATATCACAAACACTTATTAAAACTTTTGCCCACTTTTCAAAGGATGAACCAAGATCTATCACCTAGACATCTATATACATAAATTATAATTTAGCAAATGATTTAAAGGAGTAGAACATTTTAAAAGCCGAAAGTAAAGATTCAAGATAGAAGAGGATATTTCCAGTATAATCTTTTAGACTTTCCTTTGTAAGGTCCTTCTAGAATAAATTTAAACATAGGTTTTCAAAAATTGATTTAGAGAATTTAAAATAAGGATTTTATTACGGAATGCCTTTTGCCCAGTTTTGGCCTTTTTCATTATACTAGGGAAAGTGGTACTCAGTAATTTATGGTACAAAATGGGAAGACATACAGTAACTAAATTTATAGGGGGTTTCATCATAGAACTGGTCTGTTCAATCTCAGAAAATAGGTGTGAATGACAATGGTCATAGTTTTAAGAAGTGAGTGCCATTCAGCTCAAAAGAGACCCTGCCAAGAATAGAAAAAAAGCATTACCATCTGTCATACATTTATGCTTTTTTGGTATAATAAATTGTTTCCCTCACTAAATATAAGTTGAAACTTTATAACCATATACTTTACTACATAAATTTTCCCATATGTCACTGGCTAAAACAAAACTATACTATTTGGAGAATTTTCTTTCACATTGGCAGGCTTATTCCTGGTCGGTTTGATTTTGCTTTTCCAGTAGGATTTTGCATTTAATATTGTCCAGCTCACCAAGGACTGTCTACTTTTAGGGATGTGCTGTTTCTTTAGGATACTATGACTACTGAATTAAGTTTCTTTCAAGTTTATAATTTAATCATAATCGTGTTCAGTGAACTCTTATTCAGGTGTGCTGTCTGAGGCATTCTTTCTCATACCTGAAAAGGTATAGCCAGCTATTGACGCATCCAGATTTCTACTATTATCAGGTAACATCAGGAGTTTTGGACCAATTCACTTCTAGGCCAGTATTTCAAGTACTCAAAGTACATTTAGCTGCAGCACTCTGCTTGCCTTTGTCTAAGAAGGCCTCACAGATGTTCGGTGGTTTCTTAGATTGGCATCCTGCATCTAAGAACACCTTTCACTGTATGTTCGAGTTATTTACCATCAGCGTTTTTGTGTTTCTAACCTTCACAATAGAATGTCACAATGCACTGTCCTTGAGTGTTTATCATGTGTGATGCAGACAACTTGATCTCCTTCAGCTACCAGGTCCAAAACATATGGAGAATATTACACCTGCATTCTATGGTCAGCATTAGCTTCCTATTCAGTTGTGAGTGCAATTTAAAGTGTTGACTTTAATCTTTAAAGCCCCTCATTGTTTAGAAGCCAGTTACTCCAGATATCACATCTCTCCCTATGCATCATCGAGGCAATTAAAATCAGCTGTGGTGCTTGCCGCGCGTAATCCCCCGTGGGTTGTGGGGAGCCTGGGAGTATATCACTTTCTAAAGAAGAACTTCCCTAAGTACCCTCCGTTTCTGTCCATGATAAAAAGTAATATTTGGAGTTCATAGTTTTGGCCTTGAATGTCCTGTCACATGTCTGTAGGTCTCTGGGACCATTATTAAGTGCTGTTGATTTAATTTTTATGTTATTTTATGTTATCTGTGGCCAAGAGTTTAGAATACCAAGTCTACTTTTTAATGAATCAAAAAAAATAACAGTTGTACATATTAAAAATAGAAAAAGCTAAAATTCATCTGTTTCATATTTGTTAGTGTGGGAGTTTTCACTCCAGTATTCTCTCACTCAAGTTTTTCTTTGAATCTAATTTTAAATGTCTTCAGTAAAGGGATTTGTCTTAAATCCTTTGGGGGCTATTTCAAAATCCATAACTTATGGTAAGCCATTTCTCTAAATGCTTAGATAAATGTTTGATTTCTTAATGTTTTATCAGATGTCTGTTACTTATAAATTGTGCTATGTTAAATAATGACTTTCTTTTTACTGTACACAAGGTTCAAAAGCTATTGTTGAGGTGAACCTCCACCAAAGCACGTGATGCCAGACCAGGGGGCAGTCTTCTGGGGAGGAAAGATGATTGGTAACGGGGCTTCGAGGAACCGGCAGCCCGACACGACAAAGAGTGGCGTCTGCTACTTTTCTTACTCCTTCCTCGACCTCCCTCTTTCTCTGTCCCAGCCTGACCCTCCCTGACCATCAAAATGTCTCTGAAAATGCAGGGCACCACTAGGAAGAGGTTGGAATGACTTCCCAGGAAGTTTGTGTCTGACTATGATATTGTAAATATTAAATGCAACAAAAAATGCTGACTTTTTTCTATCAGATATGTCAGTCCCTGTATCCATAAATTAATTTAGCTTTTGCTGCCTTCCAATTTTTATGAAATATTGTGGTGTTAAATGAGCCCAAATTAAGACTATCTGTCATATTCTACAGTGTTCTACTTTCTGAAAAGGAGTATTATTCAGTGGGACTAATCTATTTCCTTTCCTTTTATATCTCAAACTCATAGGTTATTTGTTTATCCAAATCAATAAGAGGTTATAACATTTGTAAATATTTATGCACCCCAAGTATGAACACCTAATATATAAAGCAAATATTAACAGATATGAAAAGAGAAACTGACAGCAATATAATAATAGTAGGGGACTTTAATACACGATTTACATCAATGGATAGATTATCCAGACAGAAAACAGCAAGGAAACAGTAGCCTTAAATGACACATTCGATCAGATGGTTTAACGGG